GGTCCCTGCATTCTGACCAGGTTGTGTGGGCAGGCTTTGGGGTACAGACCATAGGGCACAGACCCATTAGAGCATCATTGACAGCGTCTGACCAAAAATGCAATAAGATGTAGCAATTGTGACCAGCAAACCAACTATATTGTTTTGAAAATGAGTAATAAATGTAAGTGACAGAAAAGCCCTGCCCTACTTGTTAAGCTGCAGTGTAATACAGAGGCTTGCACTGCAAAGCTTGACAAACTGTAGAGGTTTAACGCACCTGCCAACAAAGAGAAAAAACATTAGCTACAAATGCCACAGACGTGACAAGTGCAAACAAAATCCCTACAAACCTGACCATACATGGCAGGTACTGGCAGCCAAATGACTTGCAGTAGGTTAGTCATTATTTGGCTAACAGGACCGATAGCAATAGCTGCGCCCAGCTACCTACATACCTCATCAGACTGTTTGACGTTGTCATGTCGCTTTTCAAGGTCTGCATACTTTTTCCAATATCCATAGCAATATGGATAATGCGTGAAAAACCTGTCAAATGCTTTCCTGGCAGCTGGCAAGTGGTTCTGCAAGAAATACACAATAAAAGCAATGAATCCTTTCCTTAAAAAAGCCTTCATGTTATTTTTAAAATGACCATTGTTTTAACATTGCCTTAAAAATGACTGGTTTTGCTTTGTGATCTCTGCTGATGACACTGGCAAGGGCAACTGTCTTAAAACAGTATCTACGAAAGCCTGATGTACAGTTCTAGATTTGTCACTGGAATAGCCACGCCTTGTTTTGGCTTTCTTTGTTTATTTCTGGAAAGCTAAGGAAAAAGGGGGCACGTACTAACCTCCTGCTCTACATACTGTAGTAGATATACCCATCCTGTGAAATCCTGGGGATTGTCCTCTACTACTTTCCAGAACTTGTCAAAATCTGGAGGGAAGGAAGCATCAATATCTGTTGTCTGTAAACTTTCAATATTTGGAATTTCACTCTCCTGCGTGTTCTCTTCATTCAAGTCAGGGGAACTGTCAGGTGATTGTTCCATCTCAGTTACGCTCATAATTTCTGTACTGAAGTCCATATGCTGTTCTTCTGTTGCTGTTTCAGCGCCATTGTCTGTGCTGTCATTGCTCACAGTTGGCTTCTCCTCCTCTGTATTATCTGCGTTCTCCATAGCTGAGGTTACTGTTGCTTCCTAGTACTAGATCCTGTGGAAACAAAAAGATTCGGTATTCATGCAGTGAAGATTCAAGTAGAACTTGATTGTGAATTATCAGCCAAGAGCCTCCCAAGTGCTTCAGGCATGCAAGCATTGCTTCAGGCATGCAAGTATTTCACCACAAACCTTCATCAATTAGATCTGCTTCAGTCTTGAGCCCAATTCACAATTAAAAAGAACATGTTAATAGCAGTCACACATTTTAACATCTGCACATACAAATCATTGTGATTTTTCCACACAATACAGTTTTCCTGCATTGAGTCTGGCAGAATTTTATTCCGAATAAAAAATTACATTGAAATTTATTCAATTCTCCTACTTAGTACAAATCAGTAACTTCTTTGCAAAATAAATATACATTAAAATGTACCCTCAACGCTTAGCTGAACTGGCTTAAGCAATACCTTTGCAAAGAAAAGAATTACTATCAGCACTAGACTCAGTCCACATTAACGATGTCTGCACAAACTAACCAGCATCAGACGACCACAAAAAATGTTTAGGCCAGCCCCTTAGATGCAGTCACTCTCTCCCACACACAACTCCTGTGTCAGGGGTTCCTCCTGCCCCTCAGGACAGACTCCATCTTCCTCCCACTCCTCATCCTGATCTTCCCGCCAGACACTGCTGCCCAGCCCTACCCTCCTCCGCCTACACCGGTCCAGCCTCCCTTGGCTGGGTGCTGCTCTGCCGAACAGCTCTCGGCCACAGCTCAGCTCGGCCTCCATGGCCCCGAGCCTGGGCGTAAGGCACAGCTGAACCTTCTCCACCTTCACGCTAGGTCCTAATGACTAGCGGATCCTAGGTAATACAATACCCATGTAGAACGCAATAGCTCTTGGCTGTGAATGTATTTTGGATGAAGAACAGCATAAGAACATCATCCTCAAATGCACTGTAGCAACTGCCACTCCTATTTCCCTTCGGTTCTCCTCAGAGGAGGTGGCAGCAAATAAGTTTTGCATTTAAAAAAAAAAAAAAAAAAAAAATCCCCACCCCTCTCTGTATCTCCAGAATTCTTTCCCACTGAAAGCCTGAAAAGGCAACAAACAAACCGCTCGCTTTCACTTCAACAAATACATCAATAAGCCATCAATAGTATAGCAGGAAAAAAATTCTTGACAGAAAGGAAAAACATCTATACCTTATCTTCAGCAGCTTCAACACATGAGATAACAGTTCCTGTTATCCTAGGAGTTCACCAAGCCAAGTCACTGTTTTTTAAAAGTAATTATTTCTGTTCTCCATTATATACATCATCTGGCAATCATAGAAATGCAATTTCTTTCCTTTAAGGTAAACAGTTCATGATTTTGTAACGTTATGTGGTATCTGTTCATAAAAATGAACAATTGATTCCATTTAAAAGTCATACAAACTCAATGTGACTACACAGAGCACTCCACTGCTTCTGCTCTACAGGAAGAGAGGACGCTTGTGTAAGATGAGCAGTTTATTTCATTAACGACCAGCTCTTCTCCACATCCTGGGCCACGCTAGAAAGCCTGCATTGAAAGCTGGCTTCTTGAGTGAGTGTTGGAGATGTGCTTCAATTTTGATTTTGAGAATAAACATAATTTCTAACCTAAGAAATTAAATATCAAAGCAGTATCACTGTGCCTTTACCAATACAACATACAGAAGAGATCTGCATCATTAAAAACAGCTGCTACCACTCAGAGCTTACCTCCGTAAAGATTATAAAATCAAGGCATAAGAGGAGTGTGTTATGCAAACTGCAGCCCCAACATTTGAAAGAAATAGTTTAAAGGATGTTTACAGCTCTAAAATTTTAGAAAGTTAATGCAATTGTTTTTAAACATGCAATAATTTATGACTTAAACTTATTTTGATATTTGACAGCTATTTTCCCATCTCTAACTGATTCAGAAGATGTATTCCAGCTTAAAACCCAACTCCTCCAAATCTAGCCGTCTTCAGATTACAGGGAGGGAAAAAAAGAAAGAGGGAGAAGCGGCACTGCATCACCTCTGCACGCCCAGTTTCAAACAGTCTGTTTGAGTTCGCTTCCCACGGAAGGCGTTCCAGAACGCCCCCAGGGAAGCAGGGTACACCCCGAACCCTTGCCGTACGGCCGACACCACCAGCCCTGCCCGGGACCGCAGGAACACCCCTCCATCCACGGAGCGACGAAGGCAGCAGGCACGGAGCTGACGCACACCCAGCGCAGACAACCACGTAACAGGGAAACTTAGTTCCAGGACTTTTTACATCACTCAGGCTGAATAACTAAATAAATGTATCAGATAACTACGTGCACTAGTTTTAAATAATTTATGTCAACATGTATTATTTAGCCTGTTTCAATTAAACGTTTGTTGCACATAATACTGGCGTTTATAAATATGAATGAACTAGTGGAAAACATGTAGGAAAACACGGGAAGGGGCGGCACCGAGGCATTTCAAGCCCCATCCGAGCCCTGCCCTGCTCTACCCGCGCCTCACGGCCCCGATAAGCAGCTGCTTGAAACTTCCCGGGGCCGGGCTGCGCGGGCGGTGCTGGCCGCCCCTCCTCTGCGCCCGCCTGCTACTTGTCCGCAGACCGAGCGGCTTCACAGCACGTGAAATAAAGATAAAAC